AGTTAGCATGTATTTTATGTGACTGAAAATGAAATTGGATCCTAGACACATGGTATAGAAAATATCTTGAGAAAAATGCAGCGCTACATTTCTATTTGAAAGAAACTATAGACGGGCTATGATTTGTCAAATATGTGCAAAGTGAAATTAAGGTCAGATGGATCCAATTTCAGCTGAAGACCTCTCTGGAATAGGTGCATGTGTTTGTATCTCTATATCTCTATGTATAGCATCTCTTGGGGTCCACTGGGGATTGGTTCCATGAATCCCATGGATACAAAAATCTGTGGATATTGAGTTTCTTATATGAAATGAAGTAGTGTTTGCATATAACCAACTCACATCTTCTTATATACTTTATCTCTAGATTACTGTATTACTTAATAGAATGTAAATACTATGTTAATAGCTGTCATACTGTAGTGGTTTTTAACTTATATTATTTTTATTGTTGTATTTTTTATGTTTTCCCAAATGTTTTTGATCTGCAGTTGATTAAATCTGCAGTTGCAGAGCCCATTGGTATGAAAGGCCGCCTGTATATATTTTTGGACAAATTATCTACTCAAACCCAGTTAAAATGCACTTCTAGGATAGTGTCACCTGCTGAATACCTGAGGGCTCCCTTTTCCTTAGTCTTTACAAGGGAGGATAAGAAATCAGCTCTGTAATTTCTCAGGGGAGTGACCTAGGAGATCACTACCTCTCTTTGAATTTTTCTCCTTATCTGGTCAAAGGGGGACGATGAAAACATTACCTCCTAGCATTGAGAGTATTGCCTAGCATACATGCAGCAAATGCTCAATAATCACTCATGTTAAAGTGGCATGACAGTGCTCTTAACTCCCAAACTCTGGCAGGAAGTGAGAAACCATTTTTGGTCTGGGGGTACAGTGAGATCTTTCACATGGTTTCCCCCAAATTACTCTGAAGATAATGACCTACTTTACAGATATATGAAGCCTTGTTGTGGGCTATGGGAAAACTCTGGAATTTCTCCACTTAACTGTAAAGGCAGTGGGGAAACCAGAATTGACAGAAGTGACTTGAAATGACTTTTCTCCACAATAATGAATATTTTCTGACCCTCGTCTATGCTGGCTTTGAGTCAAGCCAGAAAAAACCCTTTATGGGTTGAAATCATTCGAAAAGACAACTCGTTATGTTCTGACTGCAGCCAGGTGAAGATGCCCTCAGGACGGGAGTAAATGAGTATGAGGGCTTTTTCAGTTCCACATCCATGGCATCTCCTGTAGTGTGTGAGTTTTTCTTTTTCTTTCTCTTTTTCTTTTTCTCTTTCTTTTTTTTTTCAGATCATAGATTAGTTTATTTTTAACACCCATCATGCCATGAATTCATAGGGAATATGTTCTAATAGCTCAGCCTCCTTTCCATTGGTTCTCACCAAGTGTGCTTCTCTGGGTGGAGCAGCTGGCACTTCAGTTGAACCCAGGTCCCTTTCTCTTGGGCCTCCTACTTTTTGTGGTCATTTCCCTTCACACATTTTAGGAAGCTATCTCTGCTCTTAGAATGCTTAATATGCTCAGTATACACATTAATTTTCTTGGCAAGAGTCTTGTCCTTAACTTATTTGTTTACAACAATGCCAACAGCATGCTGGGTAACATTGCAGACTTCCAGTATTGCCACGGTCACATTTGTGGGCATTCCTTTTTGAACAGTACCCTTTCCCTTGATGTCTGCAATATCACCTTTCTTATAGATTGGCATATATATTGTGAAAGGAATTACTCCATGTTTTCTAAAAGGCCTAGAGAACATATATCGGATGCCTCTCCTCTTTTCCTTTGTGTTCGTCATTTTGGTAAATTACTGGAAGATGGCGGTTCCAGCCAAAAGGAAGGCCATAGTGGTTGAGTTCAAAGATGGGACAGCTGTTGCCAAAGATGCTTTGAAAGCTACACTGTGTGTCAGCCTTCTAATTCTGAGATTGAGAAGATTATAGGGAGTGTCAAAGGACAGCATAAACAAGGCAGATGTGATGGAGTGGAGGGATTGGGTTCTGGGCTGACCTTGTCTAGTTCCTGGGCCTCAGCGTTCTCATCGTAAAATATCAAGGATGAGAAACTCCAGCTCAAGAGCCTGAGAGTGTTAAGGTCACAGAAAGTTATGCACAGGGGACCCAGCACAGAGTAACTGCTCTGAAACGGTGAATGTGCAGAGGAGTGGCCATCACATGGGCTTGGGGTGGGGAGAGTGGAGTATGGTGAACTGGAAATACTGGCCTTTTCTCACCCAAGATGGCAGCAGGATCTCCAGGATGTGTTGGGCAGATAATAAACCACATCTAGAACAGTTGGTCTGGAGGAGAGAGAGGATTGAAGTGGTTTCTAAGAATAAAAGATGTGTATCTGATAGATCCTCACTTTCTCCAGGTAGTTTCACCTGGTATCTTGGGCAGCAGGGAGCCTTGGTAGGCACTGGAGAAAGACAGCTTCACTCTCTTTCTATAAATGTTCGTAAATGCTTGCAAAGTCCTTGTCTTTTTTGTTCTTGACCCAAGATAAATCTCTAACCTCATTTCCTACCTCTAGTGTCTTTGCTCAGTCTGTCCCAGCCATCCCAGACTCCTTGCTGTTCCTTACACAGGCCAAACATAGCTTTGTCTCAGGAACGTTGCACTTGCTATTTCTCTAGCTTAGACTTTGCCGTTCACAGACATCTCCGCTCCCTCACTCCACTCAGGTCTGCTAAAAATGTCACCTTTGAGGTGCCTTCACAGACCACCGTGACTAAAAGAGCGTGTCTGCCTTCATCACTTTTCTGGCCAATTGCGGGACCGTGGAACACAGGCTTTGCTTTCATTCTACTGCCATTGACAAAAATGGTGCCCAGCACACAGTAGGGGCTTGATAAATATGTTTTGAAATAACGAGTGAGTGAATGATTAGATTTTTTAACTACACAAAAAGAACTTTTTCTAATTCCTGAGTATGTGGCAATTTTCCCACCAATCACTGCCACTCTTGGGACAATGACCCCATTAGTTGTAGTTATGATGAGGACAGGGAGGACATTAGATGGGTGGCAGATGTGCAGTGTGCATTGAAACTATTATATAGAAATTGTCTAACATTGATGAGCACATTGCAAAATTGCTAAGATTTCAGGCATTTTAGGCATTTTCTTTTTAAAAATTTTTTTTAAGTTTTTTTTTTTTATGAAAAAATAAGGTGGTGTGTACTTGGTGGAGAGACAGAGAGAGGGAAAATGAGAAATTACCCCCTAAGGGATGACCATGCTGCAATACTTTCTTCATTCTCCTCTCAAGATTTTGGGCATACACCCACATATGCCCAGCATTTTTCAGATGCTGGGTCTAGGACTCAAACTTCAGAATTGGTCATGTGGGGGACCAGCAGTTAGCGTAATGACTATGTCGCTGAACTCCCATGTAGTCAACCATGGTTAGAGTACCAGACCTGGTGGCTTAAACTCATGCTGGAGCAGGGAGCCTTGGTAGGCACTGGAGAAAGACAGCTTCACTCTCTTTCTATAAATGTTCGTAAATGCTTGCAAAGTCCTTGTCTTTTTTGTTCTTGACCCAAGATAAATCTCTAACCTCATTTCCTACCTCTAGTGTCTTTGCTCAGTCTGTCCCAGCCATCCCAGACTCCTTGCTGTTCCTTACACAGGCCAAACATAGCTTTGTCTCAGGAACGTTGCACTTGCTATTTCTCTAGCTTAGACTTTGCCGTTCACAGACATCTCCGCTCCCTCACTCCACTCAGGTCTGCTAAAAATGTCACCTTTGAGGTGCCTTCACAGACCACCGTGACTAAAAGAGCGTGTCTGCCTTCATCACTTTTCTGGCCAATTGCGGGACCGTGGAACACAGGCTTTGCTTTCATTCTACTGCCATTGACAAAAATGGTGCCCAGCACACAGTAGGGGCTTGATAAATATGTTTTGAAATAACGAGTGAGTGAATGATTAGATTTTTTAACTACACAAAAAGAACTTTTTCTAATTCCTGAGTATGTGGCAATTTTCCCACCAATCACTGCCACTCTTGGGACAATGACCCCATTAGTTGTAGTTATGATGAGGACAGGGAGGACATTAGATGGGTGGCAGATGTGCAGTGTGCATTGAAACTATTATATAGAAATTGTCTAACATTGATGAGCACATTGCAAAATTGCTAAGATTTCAGGCATTTTAGGCATTTTCTTTTTAAAAATTTTTTTTAAGTTTTTTTTTTTTATGAAAAAATAAGGTGGTGTGTACTTGGTGGAGAGACAGAGAGAGGGAAAATGAGAAATTACCCCCTAAGGGATGACCATGCTGCAATACTTTCTTCATTCTCCTCTCAAGATTTTGGGCATACACCCACATATGCCCAGCATTTTTCAGATGCTGGGTCTAGGACTCAAACTTCAGAATTGGTCATGTGGGGGACCAGCAGTTAGCGTAATGACTATGTCGCTGAACTCCCATGTAGTCAACCATGGTTAGAGTACCAGACCTGGTGGCTTAAACTCATGCTGGGCATGTCTGCTTGTGTGCCCAAGATCCCGAGAGGAGAATGGAGGAGAAGGGATTGTGGTGTGGCCTTCCCGCCTGGAGGGTGATTTCTTGCTTTTGGTCTCTCTGTCTCTCTCTGTCTTTCTGGCAAGCACACATGCCCTATAGCAAAATCATCTCCAAAAAGAAAAAAAAGAATTGGCCATGTGGGAGCCAGTTCCTTAACCACCATGCCATTCCAGGTTTGAGATTCTAACCAAGTTTCCTTGCATACCCTCAGCAATGGGTAGTCCACTCCTTCTGTGGCAGCCTAGAACATTTAAGTGCAGCTCTAGGAAGGCACAGGAGAAAGAAAGGGGATGAGTTTGACCAAAGCACAATTTCTTCCTTCCTTGGGGCAATAGCTGAATTTCTGGTTGAGAAAGAGAGATCAACCTCTGCTCTATAAATTGCCCCTGTGAGGGGGCAGAATCAAAGAGCATTCCATGGGCAACATTCCTTGTTGGTCATACCTGAATGAATGGAAAGAGAAGCCCGACAACAAAGTTGGAGAGCCAGTTGACGGTGCCTGCGATCATAAAGGCAGCTGGCCGCTGTGATTGCTGGAAGAACTCACCGGTCAAGATGAATGGGATGCCACCTGCAATATCAGAGCCAGGACACAGAATTAATCACCCTGAGAAGGTCACGCCATCAACCTCCACCTCTACATGCTGGGCTGTAGAACCACTGCGTGGCTAGAGGCTGTTTCCTTGGCAAAAGTTGGCTCTGCCCATTTCAGTGAAAGCTTTATAAGTGGGTGCTGGAGTCAGATAGCCCTTACTCCTTAAGCCGGAACATACACAAGCCACTTCTCTGATCTGACACATCAAAATGAGAGATTCATCCTTTTGGCTCTCCAAATGCCACAAATCAAGCTATGATCCATCTTAAGTTGAGTGTGACATGTACAAATTAGAATTATAATGCAATCAATATATATGGAATATGCCATCTCAGAAATGTTTACCATTTGATTTTCAGAAAAATTGAGTCAGACAAGTATTGGTTACTATGTCCCTGGGTGAGAAACCTGAATCCCAGAGAGATCACTTGACTTGCCTTAGTTTATATGTCTTGTCAGAACTCAGGATTGGACTCCGGCCCCTAAATTTCAGCTTTTTCCTGCTAGCCCTTTCTTGAGAGAGGACAGCAGCCCCTGCCTAACCTATTGTCCTTTTGTCTTCCTAATTCCCCATGACCGAATGTGTGCTGGGCCCCTGTTCCTGAGCTGCTCCACAGCTCAGTGGAGACATGACCGACATTGGGGCAGGACAATTCTTTGAGACTGTTCTGTACAATTGCAGGTTGTTGTTCACACTCACATTCCGATGCCAGGAGTTTCTCCATGACAGCCCATGAGACTTCCATGGACTTTATTTTCTTTTTAAGTGTTTGCCATAGGGCATGTGTGCTCACCAGAGAGTGAGAGGGAAAAATGAAAAATAACTCCCCAGGGGGTATGGCCACACCACAGTCCCTTCTCCTCCATTCTCCTCTTGGAATTTCTAGGCATGTACATACATGCCTGGTGTGATTTTCAAGTCACCAGGTCTGGGACTTGAACTGCAGTTGACCATGTGGTAGTCCAATACTTTAACCACTATGCGACCTGCTGGCCTCAACTTCCACATGCTTTTAAATGCCCTTGAGGTAGCATTCCTGGAACAGAATCTCTGCGCTCTGTACCCTCCCATTCCCATATGAGTGAGACTGAGGGTCCTGTTTCCAGCCCCAGGAATGGGGCTCAGCATGACTGCTGGGGTTTGGTCTGCACTATCCAGGTCCACTGAAGTCACTAGTCTGCCAATCAGAGTGAGGGACCTTGACATTCCTGCAGTCAAGTTAGAATTGGTAGTGGAGGGGGAATCCCTGAAGAATCTCAGCCAAGCTTTAAGGAGACATGGAAAATGGTTTGAAAATCACTAGACTGGAGACATTCATTCTGTCAACATTCAGTGACTTATTTACAGAGCTGGGGCTGGTCCCACTTTGCTGGTAGAGTGCAAAATATCTCTGTTTCTGTAGGACTCTATTGTCTGGTGAGGGTGCTAGGATGACTTGTTCATTAAAAATGGAGTGAGTGAATGAGTAAATAAGTGCTAAATGTCATAAGCACTGCAGAGGAGATGCACAGGGCAATGTGGGCGTGGGAGCTTATTCTAGCAGTGGTCAGAGAAGGGGTCTCTGGGGAGATGATGGTAAAGATGTGGGTCGAAGGAGATGTAGCTCATAAGGTTCTGTGGAAGATCATGTCAGGTAGAGGGATGGTTGGACAGCGGGGCTGTGAGTGAAAGGATTACGTCAAGGTCTGGACAAGGGTCAATCTGTCTGGACACCTAAGAGAGGAAGAAAGAAATGGGATGAAGTGGAAAGATGAGGGTCAATAAAGCAGCCTCTTTTAGATAAAGAAAAGGGGTTTGCTATTGAAGAAAACCACCAAGGGCTTCTAGCAGAGACTGAAGGAATCAATCAGCATTTCAGAGAGATCATTGCTGTTGCAGAAAGGACTGCAGGGTGTATGAGTAAATGCAGAAGACAGCAGGGAAGTTCATGGAGGAGCGCTCAGATGATGGCAGTGGAGAGAGAAGGAAGAGTTCAAATTCAGATTCTAAATCATCCTGTGGAGGCAAGGCTTAAGTGTCAGCGCTAAGCAAAGCATAATCACTCATCCTCAAGTTGACTTACCCAATAACCCAGGGTCAAGGGCCACAGAGCCAGGGCCAACTTAAGCTTGTCTCTCTACAGAACTTCCACTCCTTAACAGCTCTGCTCTGCAGCCAGCAAGCCTCAGATGCCAATAAATCATCATTTACTCAGGATGGACTGTCCTGCACTTCTCACTAGACCACCCCTCCAGGGTATATACCTTCTCCATTTGCCAGACATTTCTGATAGGGAGTAGATGCACCATCAATATTTATGTATTTAATTAAATGCTCACAATTTGATTTGGCAAAGAATTGATGTGCTGTTTTTCACTGATAAAGCGATTCTTCATTTTTTGAAGGTATATATAAAAATGTGGGAAAACGTTTGCTCCACACAGAAATGTGATAAAACCAGCCTTCAGGTCTGCAGAGTGCAGGATGTTGTATTGTCACAAAGAGTTTGCCTCACACATCCCATCAGTCCACCCAACACCGAGAGTCTCTCGTGGCCTGTTTCTTCAAATCCAGGGCGAAATGTGAGAGAATGAGCTTTGATAGAGGCGCAGAATAGATTTCTAGTGGGCACTTTGCTTTGCTTTATTTTTCAAAATGAAAATAGCTTTTACTGTTTTTTTTTTTCCTGATTATTGTGATATGTGCTCACTCAAAATAATTAAAGACAACATATAACAAGAAAAAAGTATAGAAAGGACTAAAATCACCCCTAAACCTTCCACCCGGAGATGATCTCTATTTGTATTTTGGTACTTGGTGCCAACACAGAATGCTCTATGCAGAAGATTGGGGCTAGTCTGATATTTCTTCTTTAGGTGACTCGCTTCTTCTGCTAGCACCCTGAAGAAATGTTTCCTTATCCTTGAAATTCACTTACTTAACTACACCATATCTGGTGCTCAGCTCTCTGTACCAATTTTTTGTAGAACACAGTGTGTCCTTTTACGAATATTTCTGATAGCACATGCACACAGAGAGAGGAAAAGAGACTGATGGGAAGAGATAAAGCCAGGACCAGCAGTTGGCGTAATGGCTATGTTGCTAGTCAACCGTGGTTCAAGTCCCAGTCCCGGTGGTTTAAACTCATGCCGGGCGTGTGTGCATGCATGCCCAAGATCCCGAGAGGAGAATGGAGGAGAAGGGGTTGCGGTGTGGCCATCCCCCCTGGGGGATGATTTTTCACTTGCTCTTTTTTCGGCGGCGGGCCCCGCCCGCTAGAAAAAAAAAAAAAAAAAAAAAAAGAAGAAGAAAGAGATAAAGCATCTCCAATGTGGTGTGATCAAGCCACAATCCCTACCCTTCCATTTCTCCATCCCATTAGGATTTGGTGCACACATGCACATATGCCTGGCATGTTTCTCAAGCTGCTGGGGCTGGGATTTGAACTGTGGTAGGGCATGTGCGATCTGGCTCCTAATATACAGTGCTTTAAACACTGTGCTACAGAGCCTACCCCACCAGTGGACTACTTTCTTCAAATTAGTACAAAGTCTTGGAAAATGGAAGGGCTCAACACCTTTAAGAAGGCTACTGTGGGCGGAAGGTAATCTTGATCTTTCCCCAGGATGGCTGACTCACTTCCTCACTCTATTTATTCTCTCTCCTCCCTCCCCCACTTCAGGGTGTTAGTGAGAGTTCTTAGGGTGGGTCTCTTTCTCTGGTTGGTGTTGTTTTCTAGAGAAGACAGGAATATCCTGTGCTATACTCCGACTGCCAGTTTTCAAGGTCTGTGTTCTAGTTCTGGTCTGGTTGCTGTTGGCCATTTCTTTTCTTTCTGTATGAATGTTTGCTTTGGTGGTATTCTGGGTCTTTTTTTTGTATTGCTCTTTTTGTGAGGTATATGAGAGGAGGAAATTCTGCAACAAAGTCCTACATGACCATGCTTACCTAAAGTCCCTCACAATCAGTCTTTTAAAGGTCAGCTATTGGTGTTTCTTGTGGTAGGTGTGTAGATGCTACTCCTCTTTGAATGATATGCTTCAAAACGAAAGGACAGTTAAAAGTAATCTCTTCTTGTAAGGAATTAAAAAAATTGTTGGCTTATTTTTAAAATTTTAATGTTTTCTAAGACAGGATCTTGTTGCCATTTGCCTACCACAGCCTCCCAGCTGGGACTGTAGGTACATACCATCATGCCTGGCAGATTTTTTAGACAGAGTCTCATTATGTTGCTGAGGTCAGTCTTTTTTTTGGAGAGGTTTTTGCTATAGGGTGCGTGCACTTGTCAGAAAGACAGAGAGAGACAGAGAGACAGAAAGTGAGAAATCAGCCCCCGGGGGGATGGATGGCCACACCACAATCCGTTCTCCATTCTCCTCTCGGGATCTTGGGCATGCACACACATGTGCCTGGCATGATTTTAAGCCACCGGGTCCGGGATTCGAATCACGGTTGACTACATGGGAGTTCGACGTCATAGCCATTATGCTAACTGCTGGTCCCACCCAGGTCAGCCTTGAGCTTGTGATTCTCCTGAGTTGCTGGGATTACAGTCATGATCCACCTCACCGAGCCTTTAGGTTGGACTGGGAATTGAACCCAGGCCACTCCCATGGTTCCAGATTGCGGAGCACAGAGTTCTAGCCACATGGGCTGCTGCAGTTGAGCCATTGTAAAGAATTTGCAGAAGTGAGTGCCTTCTTTAAAATTCTCTGGTTTGGGGCCTCTATTTTTGTGGCCACTATTCACACAAAAAATGTGCCTGTCTAATCTCGTGCATAGGAAAAATGACAAGTTACCCAGAGCCATTGGTCTGAACTGAAAGAGCAAGGGCAGTTCCCTCGTTTAGCACAGGGACATGTGCAGCAAAAATTCCTTCAGGACTACCCAGTCCAGACCTATTCCCACCTTTCCGGTGGGAAGACTGAGGCCAGAGAGGCGTAGGAGCCCGGGTTCCTGAACAAGCCTATCTGCTCCATTCAGGGCCCTCCTTGGG